TGCATAGATCTTCAGAACAAGGAGCTGTGTGATAAAGGCCCTAGGTGTGGTAAGAAAAATAAGTGACACTAGGATTACACTAGTTTTCAACAGATCAGGGAAGACCCCTAGAAGAGATGAGCTTTGATCTGGTTATTGAAAGTGGGAGAGAATTTTGAAAATTTGATATTGAGGGAGAGACATGGTCCAAATAAATTCAAAGTCTGTGTGGTGGCTGGTCTCCCAGATAGCCCCTAACAGTTGTTGCTTCTTGGTATTCATGTCCGGTGGAGTTTATTTCCATTCTGAATCAAGGCTGTGCTATTTGAGAATATGGCAGAGGTGACAGTGACATGTGACTTACATGTTTTCTGTTGAATCATTCATTGTGGGAAAAGTCAACCACCATGTCATGGGGTCTCTCTCAAGCTGCCCTACAGAGAGGTGTACTTGCAGAGGAACTGAACCCTCTTGCCTATAGCCAGCATCGACTTGATATCCACATGAGTGAGCCACCTCGGGAGTGGACCCTCCAGGCTCAGTTTTCAGATGACTACAAATCTCAGAAGATATCTCACTGCAACCCCATGAGAAGCCCCAAGCCCAAATCATTCAACCAAGTTGCTACCCAAATTCCTGACCCACAGAAACCACGAGAGATGACTAATTATTGCACTTTCAAGCCACTGAGTTTTGGGGTGATTTTTACATAGCATTAGGTAACAATGAAATATGTGAGCCAACTTGCAGGAAAAAAAAGCAAACATAAGACAAGCTCAAAAGAAAGACTTCTCAGACCAGGAAGGTGAAGTTTCCAGCAAACTGGGTATGAGATAGAAAAGACACAAACAGAGGCAATGGCAGGAAGATTGAGAAAAGTAGACAGGGGGAAAGGTGTCTTGGAGAAAGAATTCCCTAAATACCCTGGAGTTGTACTTCTGAACAATTAGTGGTTATTTCTACTAACATTAATGATTCTGCTAATAGCATTCCAAATATCTTAGGTATTGCAGAGCAAGTGGTTTCCTTTATACCTTACTTTTTGTGCTGCCAAATATGGGATAGTCACTCACCATACTCATTTCCCTTTTCCCCAGACACAACACTAAATCACATCTTTAACTTCCTTTCCTGCTGGTATGTTTGTGCGGTTGCACTCTGGAATATAAGTAGCAGTGGTGTACAGCCCATAAAACCTCCCACAGGGTCCTTTACCCTGTCTCTTCACCCCTGTGCTGACTCCCTGAAGGGAATGGGAGGATCTCAAGGCTGGAAGATCAACAAGGTAAAAGACCATGGATCCCCAAATTATCTCACAGAATGTCCCCTGCAAAGTAGCTGCATTCAGCAATTATGTGAACAAGAAATAAATTTTTATTGTGTGAAAAAAATAAATAACTGGAGTTATTGGGACAGTATAAAGCAAGTGTAGAGAAAAATGAGATGGAACAAAGAGTGAGCCCAGCACACGCACATGTACGTGAGGTACCGGGTAGTTTTGTGAGAAGCCACAGCATTATGATCTAGGAGACAAGGCAAAAACGGAAACGTGACCAGTGACATGATTCACAGAGACCATGAAATTTTTAAAAGGAAGAAAGGAAAAAGTTGGACGTTTTTCCAACTTTTGGAAAAAAGAAGTGTGACTATTTCCAATAATGAAATTAAATAGAAGTTTCCTCATTGAGTCCTCATAAAAGACACAGCATAATATAGTGATGTCCTATAAAAAAATCCTAGCAGCTAATACAACATTTCTTATTATATCCTTCAATGAAGGATAAAATAAGTGATAAAACAACATAATAAAATCATGGGGGGGGGGACACAATACTTTGTGGCTGAATTAGTTCTCCGTTAGTCCGATTGTACCTAATAACAAATGTAAATAAATTGTGAATCTCTTAGATAATCCACCTCAATGAGTAATAGATGTTTGGCAAGTATATTTTGGTTAATTGATTCACTAGCAATTATGTATATTTTTGAGGGTGGGAAAATGAGTAGGAAAGGAGGCCCAAATGTCCTGAGGTGACTGTCCTATGCCTCTACATTACCTGTCTAACCCTATCTGGCTACTTGGGGCTGCCAGGGTGTTTCATCAGCTCATGTGTGTTACTGTATTTTCTCAGTGCATTTTCCTGGGGCAGTGTAATTAGGAACACTGACTAGAGAATAAGGGAGGAAGAATAATCGAGTATAAGTACAATTGTAAAAAGTCATTATGACATGCTTTCAAAGCCAGTAATTACCACTCTTGCTTATCATGCAAATCACTATTAGTATTTTTATTTAAACTACAACTGTGTTTTGTTACTTGACACAAAAGCTTTTGAGAAAGACCTAACATCTGCCCACAATTGGATTCCTTTCCAAGCATTCCTTGGAAGAAGAGGAAAAGGACACCAATGTCAAGAGGGTAATTTAACGCTTGTAGTTAAAACTTTGTAAAGGACCCATTGTGAGGGGGAAAAGCCCAAGGGGATGAATTATGAAATATGCACAATAATTTCTGCTTGTCCCTTTAAAGCAAATCTAGAGATTTGTCTCTATAGTGAGAAGCTTCAAAATTGGTCTTTTACAAAACTAAAAAGGTTATATAACATACTGGGAAATCAAGGGTCTTTTGAAGAACAGTCAAGAATTGAGAATGGCTGGCTGGGGAAAGGAAGATGGAAGTAAATAGAGGAGATCTCTGGTCCCAGAGACTTGGAAGACTGATTTAGTAACAGTGGTTGGTGAATATTGCCAGTTTTACTGAGCATTGAAAGAAAAGTAGAGAAACCTGTTCATTGGGGGCTGGTGGAAATTGTATTGTAGTAGTAGCTTGTAATCTTTGGATACAGGATGTAGCAGGAGAAGGATGACTGGAATTAAATGCATTTAAAATATGAGTTGTTCACCGTGTATAGTGATCGCCATTTAGATTCCCCTAGAGTCAGGCAAACTAGCTGTGGATCTGACAACAAGATAGATAAATTATTATCCTGACAACTCAAAATCTGGCAAAAGCTGGAGAATTCCAGTGGTAATGACAGAAACAGGTCAGGCTCGAATTGAGCCAGAGCTAAGTAACAAATATTTCTAGTACTTTTATGCAAAACACTACTCAACCTTTCCCCTTTGAGTTCAGTGAAGCTTAGAAACAATACGAAACAGTATTTATATGACTTTGGAGGGATTTGGGATGGCCACAAGCATGCCTGAAATCAGAAGAATCAATGGGTAAAGATGGGTTTATGTCAATATTCTTTTAACTGCTGCTGTAATCTTAGACTTCAGGTTCTCCATTCAGAGTGACATAAACCTAATCACCTTTCCCAGCCTTGAAAATATTTCTCCTCCTTCAGACTCCAAGGTGACTTCTACCTCCATCTACTAAGCTGTTCTATTCACTCCTAAGACAATACTAAATGCTTCTTGCCCCATAGGTACAGCAGACACCTGCATTGCCTACTCAGCATTAATTCCATCTTTTTTCTTACACAAAACTCCAAATTTGCTCGGCAAATCCTCCTCCTCCACCTGGCTGTATGCTTCTGTGGACGTCAGGGCAATCCCATTCCTCTTGTGAGTTCTTGCTTAGGAATAAGCCTGTTCTACTGTTCTATGCACTAACATGTGAGGAAGAATCCATTGGGGAATTAAAGGAAAGGATTCTCAGCTTTGAAGAAGAGATACATGGGGGAAAGGAGTCACTCTGCCATGGCTGTGTGTGCTTAATACTGGGATACCAGTCTTGCAAGGGTACAAGTCTAGGAAATGTCAACTGAATAACAATAGCAGAGTAAAAAGATTGAAAGAACGAGCATCTTTGATGCCATCAGTGCCACTGAATCAGCCAACTGGAGCTCTCTATTCTAGGACTTTAAATAGTCTCATTGTTTAAGCAATTTTTTTTAAGAGAGAGAGAGAGAATTTTTTTAATATTTATTTTTTAGTTTTCGGTGGACACTATTTTATTTGTATGTGGTGCTGAGGATCGAACCCAGTGCCCCGGGCATGCCAGGCAAATGCATTACCGCTTGAGCCACATCCCCAGCCCTTTTTGACTTGAGCAATTTTGACTTGAGCTTTCTACTACTTGCAGCTGGAATTATGATAACTGATAAAATAAGGATTTGTGTACTTATACTCATTGCATACCACAGTAAACATGTTTGTTATTACCCACAGAAATTGCAGTATACCAGGCGTCAATGAATGGTGGCTCCCTAAAGAGAAAAATGCATGGGTAAAAACAAAGATGTGCTCTACATCTTAACCCTACCTGCATTCCCTGGCTTTGCCAATTGCATCAATATCCACCCAGGTGTGTAAGCCAGAACTCACTTCTAGATTCCTCCCTAGTTCTCTCTTCTCCTAGCCAATCCATCTTCATGTTCTATTCATTCTGCCTTCTAGACACTTTCCAAATTCACTTATTTTTATCTCCCTTACCATTTTGTTTAAAGCTACTATTTCTTAATTGCACCACTACTACAGTAACCTCTATCTAGCTTCCTAGACTTTTAAAAATCTGTTCTATGTACTGCAATCAAAGGGAATCTTTTCAAAATTCTAAATTCCCCCACTTCCCCTTCCATATTTGATTAAAGGATAAAGAAAATTATTCTGAGATTCATTAGGTGCCCATAGGCTTGCATGGTCTGTGCCTGTTAGTCTACCTCTTGCCCTTGCTGCTCTTGCAGGACAAGCCTGCTATTGATTTCTTGAATGTGCTTTTCTTTGCTTGTGTTCTGTATGCTTAGCAGAGTCTTCCCACCAGAACCCCTACATAATCACGTTGTCTGTGTATTTCATTCTCCATTTTCCAGCTCAGTCTTGCCTTTCCCAGTTGGCTGGCTCTCCCTGCTGTACCCTTTGCTAATGCTGTATACTTCTCAGCTGGAATGACCATCCAAACTGGTACACTTGAGAGCGGCTGGGAGTACTATTAATAATTACACTGGAACAATATATATAAACAGATATTGTCCTGGGCTGACAGAATGTTTGGTTATCCTTTTCTTAATACTTACTATGTTGTAATTTTTGTTCATTAGTTTATTCATTAGCATCTGCTTCCCCCACATCTCTATGTGGGCAGGGACCGTGTCTTTCTTTCAGCTCACCATCATAATCTCCATGCCAAGTCTGTTCAATAAAAGACAAAAATAATTGTTGGAAGAATATAAGAATGAATGAATACAATGACTCAATTCACATTTTTCTTCTCTATTATTTTTTTCCTTAGACTAGTATTGATTATAATGCTATGCACTATTCTGACTCCTAGGTTTTTTTTGATATCTGATCGTTTGGCGCAGAATTGCTTTATAAGTGACTGATGTAGTGAGCAGGTATCTATGAACACCTATTATGTGCTAACCATAATTCTAGAGATTCAAGGGATAAAACAGCAGACAAGACACAGTTCCTGCCCTTGAGAAATTCACAGTCCCATAAGGGAGATACCTGAAGTCTACTAGGATTCTAGATCCGTTTCTGTCCCATGAGTAGCCAATCAGGGATTGCTGTGGACCTGAAAGAAACTGTGACTTTTTCTCATTTCTTTCTCAGCTTTGTCATTTTCCCTAGTTCATTTCCAAGATCAGTGCCCTGATGTTTCCCATTTCTTAGTAAAAAGTTCCAGGAAACATTTGAATACTTTGTGGTATTTTCAGATTATTTTAATATATTTAAAATGATATTAGTGAATATGAACTTACAAGACATAAATGGAAATATCAAGGTGCCTGAACTTAAGAGCTATAGGCATAGGATCTGACCACAAAACTTTCCCCATGGGTGGTTTATCAAATTCAGTAATAATTAATTGTATGGGTTTTGATACACAATCAGGCCAGATATGAGGCCAGGGGTCCTGTGAGAGAGACACTGAATGGAGACCTCACACCCCTTCCTGAAACTATAATTTTCAAAGGGATATGGCATCAGTAATTAGGGACATAGAAAAAAAAGGATCTGCCCACCTTCAGAGGGAAAAGATGAATTTGGTGTTTTAGACCACAGAAAAGGAAAAAAATCTATTTCTAGCGAAATGAAAATCACAGGCCTTGGCCTCGTGTTGTGTTAAAGTTAAAATGCATACTTCTATAATGGTTTAGGAACTGTCAAAATGTGAAATTTACATAAAAATTAATCCTGGGACAATTATATCACTGGAGTACCCAGTGGCAGTAAACAGAAAACCATTCTGGAGCGACACTTCCTCAGCCTCTTTGAACAGGACTTCTATAGGAAGTTTTCCATTGAAGATGACCTGTAATCCAAGATATAGGCAAAAACAGAAGGACAGGAACCCAGAAATCTGTGATAATAGAAGTTTTATCTGGAAAAGATGATGTCTTGAGCAGAATCTTCTGGAAACAGATTCTAAGATGGACATTTGCATGTAGGAGATTTTCTGGAGAATGCTATAGGGAACACCTTTGAAGAAATTAAAGAAATAGGATGAGTTGGGAGAAGATTCAGTGATACAGTCGCAGCAGATGCCCCAGCTTAGCCTGCAGGGATCTCTGGAGCTAAGATGGCTCTTAAGAATGACCCCCATCAGGCTAGGCCTTTATGCCCCAATATCAGTCATTAGAACACACTGATCCAAGGGAAGAAGTCATAAACTTGGGAAAGATGGCTCTTTTTGGCCAAAAACCATTTCCAGAGAGATCCAGAATTGGCCATTAGCAGCCAATGCACATGGCAGCAGGGAAATAGGGGCCCTGGTCCTGAAAATGTGGGTGGGTGGGTGGGTGGGAGGTGGGGACTCTGAGCAGCACAGAAGAGCATCCTCTAAGTCTGCTCCCTTTAGCAGCTCATTTCCATTTACTTTTGTGTTTTGTAATTTGTCCCATCTGGGAAGAGCATCACCAGTTTTCTGCTTGTTCTCAATTCCTGATAAACGTTATGTACATAAACACAATGGAGAAAGTTAACAATTCCCGCTGCCTCAACTAGTTTCAAGAGCACAGCTAAATTTCATCATCTCTTTCCTATATTACCCAATCTAGACTCTCTTCACTTTTAGCAAGTATATCTCATGGTCTTAAGCCGCTTAACTGGTAGAAACTGTGAAGATCTAAGCCTCTGATCACCATGTCCTTTGGAGGCTGTGTTGATGGTACCTATCCATTAACCATCCAAATTAGGCGGCAGAGTAACAAGATATGTCCCAATGGTTCATTGGAGTGTCAGACTTATTAATTCTTTTCTTCACTATGTAACACAGTTGGATCTCCTCCTGAAGATCAGTGTAAATTACCCTCTTAAGGGAGGTGTATCTTCCCTTTCCTGCTAGCTTCTTGAGATGAGGACCCCTGAGAAACCTGGTGATACCCATAGTTCAGAGTAAAATGGGACTCTTACCATATCCCCCAGTGGAGCCTTCCACCCTCTGAGAATCAGAACTTCTATTATAGAGCCTCTAGTTTCCAGGACAGGAAGCACAAATTTCACAAGCAGATTACTGTGAGTAATCTAAGATAAAAAGAAAACAGGAAAGAGTAGTTAAGAGACAGGTTGATTAGAAAGTGAAAGTTCAACACATATGTAATATGAAATATTTATTTGTGAATGAACACTGCAAAAAAGGTAGGTGATAAGAAACAAGCAAAGTAAAAATATGGCATGTTAAAACCAGAAAATGATGGAAATAAAATCCAATGTAGACAATCACAATAAATATAAATGGACTAACATTCAAGTCAGAGATGCTCTGACTGGGTTTTAAAATTCACTTGTATAAAAGATATATATCTAAAACATAATGGCATGGAAGACTTAATTAAAGCATGAAAAAACTTAAAAGGCAAATTCTCACCAAAAGAAAACCATTGTGTTATCCTTAACAAACAAATTATTTTATAAGGCAAAACATCATTTTATGACTAAAGAAGATTATTAAGAAAATATTTTCCAGGGTCAGGCACAGTTGCACCCTTCTGTAATCCCAGTGGCTTGGGACGCTGAGGCAGGAGGATCTCAAGCTCAAAGCTAGCCTCAGCAATGGCTCAGTGAGACCCTATCTCTAAATACAATACAAAATAGGGCTGGGGATGTGGCTCAGTGGTTGAGTACCCCTGAGTTCAATCTTTGGAACTCCACCTCCCAAAAAAGAAAAATATTTACTAGGAATATGTATAGTTTTAAATCCATATGCACTTAATAGCCTAGACTCAAAATATATAAATTCAGGGGTTGGTAGCAACCCATCAAATTGCTACCTCTCATGTGAATTTTGTCTTTTCACAAGGCTTGCTACTTCATGGGGGAAAAAAGATTGAATATAAAGAGTGGTTGTTGGATCGATGTAATCTTTATTCAGAAGCAAGGTTAATTTATAAATATACTCTGCAAAGTGAATAAATAGATCTTTTTTATCTTGTTAAGTTTGTTTTCCAAGTACAGCTGTGTTTATAAAGTTGAATTTTTTTGCTTACTGAATCTAGGAAGTAAATTCAGTAAATGGATTGTGGAATTGAGCTGAACTTTCATAAAGAAATGCAAAACCTCTGCCAGTTGTCAAAGGTTCATGCACCATGGTGTACTTTCTAGGTAAGTTTCCTTTAAAACCAAAATACTTTTTAAGAACTTTGTATTGGCTGACAGTTCTGTAACAGAGCCAAATTCTGGAAAGAAAGAGGGGTGTTTTCTTTTTGGTTTGTTTTTATTTTCTGTTTTGTTTTTTGCTGAACCAGGAAGTTATTTCTTTAATTAAAGTAAATGTGACTGGCATGGCCTATGCAATCACACTGTCAATCAGACAAGTCTTTCCCCATGGATTAAAATTCTAACAGAGCATATAACTCTAGTTTTCAATGTCTATTTGCCAAGCCAGACAATCCTCTCCTGGATGCAGATTCTTCCCCTTCTTTATGTCTCTGTGATTTTCCCACACATTGTTACTTTTCCTTTCTCAAATGAAAGCGAAATGGAATAAATTAATCAGAGCTTAAATCAAGCAGGATTTCCTAACTGGTAAAGCTGTGACAGGATGAAGGGGTAGAGAGAGAGGGGTGGGAGGGAGAGAGAGAATGGGAGAGAGAACGTGAGTACTGAGGCTTTCTGCAGGGGGAGTAGCCTTGGGAAGGGGGTGATAGATAGGCTCTTGATGGCCTTGCTACAGGGGAGATTTGGCTGCTAAATTTGACCTTGCTCCCAAGTAATTGATGAGACGTAGCATTATCATCAGAATGATGGTAATGAGCTATAGATGCAGACTCTCTGCCTGTGGAGATTACAGACAAAATAGACTGTAAGGCAAAACGCATTATTCAGGCTAAAGAGACTCATTACAGAAATTCCTGTTAGGAAAGCTTTGGTGGAGTTATTTGATTACCATAGCTCAGTTCCACATCCGAAGAGCGGAAAAATCCAATGGGGAAAAAAAATATATGTCCTAAAGTGGACTCGGTGGTGACGTCGGTGCCCCACGTCTCTTGTCCTGTCATCATCAAGAGCTGGATTTCACTCTTCCCTCAAAATCAGGTTCAACATCAGGCTCCTTACCAGGTTCTGTCTTAGCTACACTTCCGGTGCTGCTTTTCTTATATTTGAAAATGCCAAATATTCTTCTAGTTGTGATTTTGGGATAAATGAACTTCATTTATACTTTCTTTGCATTCTTTCTTAAGAATTTTCCTTTGAAGAAGATTCTTGGGTTTTTAGTCACAGTAATTTCATTTTGCAGTGAAGGCATCTCATTTCTGATCTGTCATTTGTCTTGTTAAATGAGATTTCAGTCATGCACATTTGAAAAATTCTGTTTCTGGAACTTTGGTTTACCCTTGCAAATGTTCTCACTGAATCTGGACACAATTTTTCATTGTTTCTCTCTCTCTCTCTCTCTCTCTCTCTCTCTCTCTGTTTGGCAGCCACCTTTCTATGGGTGTCTACATTTTATTGATTTATGGTAATAGATGACCAGCCCCTTCTCTTCTGTCATTTACAGGTTGACCTCCTTAGTTGAGGTTTTTCTAAAACAGGCACACAAAGCGTAAGCGCAGGTAACCTTGTAAATTCAAAGGCTGGTTCCACTGAGTTAAAATTCTATACCATCCAAGTGCTGGATCTTGACACAAATGGAAATTTTAACTTGCAGCTTAGTGCTTCATGCCTCACACTGTGAATGGTTGCAACAAATCTGAGTTTATGAACCTAAGTTGGTGACATCTCTCTTTTTAGGCCAGTGGCCTTTAAACTGTGATGTGCATCCAAATAATGCAGCAAGCTGATTAAAAATGCAGAGTTTTGGACCCTCACCCTAGACATTGATTCCGGAGTTTGAGGGAGCCAGCGTGTACATTTTCAAAAGCTCTCTGAGGGTGATTCTGATGCAGATCATACTTCAACCTCCATGAAAGAGACTGAGAATGAGAACAGCAGCACCAGTCAGCTGGACCTTGACGCTGACAAGAGCTGGCCTGGCTCTGACAGCTGGGCCCTGTGTTTTCCTGGTGGACATAGACAATTTCACAGAACATCAGCATCAAACAAGGCCGCTCTGACCATGAAGAATGAAGACAAAAACAAGACCACTCACTCTCAGTCTGAACTGAGGAGAAAAACAAGAAACAAAATATCAAACATCACCCTCTCTCAGCAAAGATGAGGGACTAATGTTACTTCCCCATTTATAGTTCTATCCTTGTTCTATCCTGGCCTCCCTGTAGATAGTATCTACTGAGGTACCCTATCATAGAATTGCTCCTCATGTCGTCAACTCAGAGCAAAGCCCTGCTTCCTAAACCTTCTCCAAGATCACTGAACCCAAGTCCCGTCCTACCATAAATCTTTTCTAATACAGTCTTGCCGAGATACCTCCATTCTTCCTTATGGTATGCTCTCTCTTTTGCTGAAACAGAGAACACACCTAACTAGCTCAATGACAGGTGGAGACATTGACAAGTCTCATCAGCTAGACTAGTGCTTTCCGTTCTTCCTCTGTCCCTAGGTGTGCTGGCTGTAGCTATGAAACCACTCAAGGATCTTACAATTCCTGGGTATTGCTTTTCTGTGCTGTGGAAATGTATGGGTACTTACTCTATCAGTCGTGATCCACATAGGACAGTACACACAATGTGGGTCATCAAGTTCAGGTAATTTGGAAAGTCATTGTCAATAACAGATGATGAAGCACCAGCGACTAGCAACAGCAGGGAGCTGTCACTACCTCTAGGCCCGAAAGAACAAGAGCAAGGAGAGGTTACCAAAGACCAAAGAGAGCCACAAAGAGGGCCACCCAACAGGAGCTGTGGCCTTCAGAACAGGCATGTGGCCCCTGCTCACTGACTGGCCAGCAAGGCCGGGGCAGGGGAACAAATGCCCTGATTATAGTCTTCTTCCTCCTTTTGATGTCCTGTCCAATATCTCTGTGGAAGACAAATGAAGTTGGAGGGTGTGGTGAACTTCTATAATTCTTTTTATCTCAGCATTTATTTTGAATACAGGTCTAACTTTCTTGTGCCAAAAGCCTCCCCATTGACACGGTTTTCATTTCTTCACCTCCTCTCAGGTCCTCAGTGTGCTTGATCCAGATGTCTGCCTTATACAATAGCCTCCTGGGGACATTCCACTATGGGACATCTGGATACGACCTACTTGACTTGCTCCATTGACCCTCACCCCACATGGACTGTGCAGATATGCCACAGCGACCACCTCTCGGTCACAGTATGACTCCATGGAACTTATTCTGGCTTGCTCTAAACCCACCAATCAGAACTCCCCAAGGAAAAACTGCTTGGGTAATGCCCCGGACCCCAATAAAGGCCCACAGGTCTGCTCCCACCACTACTGGCTGAGCTCTCATGTCCAGATGGCCCCCACCTTCTGCTTGGCCCTGGGAGGCACGCTGCCCTTTTCTGTCTGGAATCTGTAAGTAAGGAAACTGCTTCCGTTGCTTCCCGGGTTTTCTTGAGCAGCCTCTGCTGCATCTGACCTGACTGGCACATTTGAACCTAGCTTCTCTCCAGGTCAGTGCTCCCCTAGAGTGTGGCTCGCTCGGTCGGAATAAGCTGGACACAAATCAGACAAGAGCCACAAGGGCGTCTGCCAGCATAAACAAGTTTCCCGGAAGAGGGATCCCTCATCACAAGTCAGACGCTTAGGTGTCAGGCCGACTGCCAGGACAAAGAAGAGCCTAGAAAAGGGACATTGGGAACCTCCACTTCTTCTGGAACCCCTCTGTTTTAAAGGTGCTCTACGGAGAAAGTCTCAAGACCAAATTAGAGGAAAACACAGCAGAGGGCCAGAGAGTCCATTATGCAGTTTATACAATCAGCTTCCAGAGACGCAGAGCAGGTGGAACTTGAGGGGCAAATGCAGAATAAGCAGGGCACTTACCAAGAGTCCTTGTTGTGTATTCGTAAACCTGTTTATAACACCTGCCCTGTAGATACTACTGTTATTAGGTGTTTTATGAATCCACAAAACTAAAGTACAAAACAAAGAGTCCTTGCTCCTAACTAAACAAAGTG